ACTAGAAATGAAACGGAAATGGTTGAGAGCTTTAAAGAGTCAGTGAGAAAAACATTTGAAGTTATGTGAAGTAGCATTTTCATATCTCAAAGAAAGTATGCCAAGTAGACTTTAACATTGTGGATTTAGGGTTTAGGCTAAGCTGCTTAAAGTTAAACTATTATAAGAACCCGTATACAAGTGCAAATCCACATGTCTAGCTTACTCAAGTTCCATTAACTGCAGGCATCATCTATTCCCCTAGTTCCCGTATATACCATTTTTTCCCTATATGGGCCATATATATTGCTCACAATTGAATCAATGTTTAATGAAACAAGCGATTAAACAAATCCGGTTTAACCTTGTGAAGCAATGAGACTCCACCAATATGTTTTGCCAACTCACCTGTGACACGGTCCATATAAAGGGCGTAGAGTCCATTTCTGCTTTCCAGAAGTTCTAATGCTTTTCTTGCCTGAATAATTGACGTCATCCAATCTTCAAGGAGCACTGCAATAATATTGACAGTCAATTAACAACAGTATTTTTGTTGGCAAACAAATTGGAGAATTTAATAGCTGAGATATTAAAGTGTTGAATGAGGCAGGCTCTTATTTGCTACGAGTCAAAGAAATCAAGGCTCTTATTTGCTACGAGTCAAAGAAATCAAGGCTCTAAGATAACAGGAAATTAGAAAACTTGAGTAAGAAATGATGTAGAACGAACTGGTGTCAAAATCTTCAGCTTTTGACCACTCTAATAAGTAATCTCCCACCAACAACTCAATAAGCTGGATCCTGACTCCAACAAATAAAAGTAAGATTGTCTTCAAAATATTTACTGTTTTGGACAAAACCTTAATTGTCCATCATTGTGATATGTAAATTTGGAGATCACAGTAATGTGTATTAGTAAAGAACTTACATGATGAACATACATTCGTGCATGTTAGCAAAAGTGTCATCAAAAGGATCAGAGAAAAGCAAACGTTCTGCAAGCACCAAAATTCTTTGACAAACTGAAAGTATAGCCCTTTGGCCAATATAAGGCTCACTGCCAAGTTTACGGACCAAATGCTGAATACAGAATTGTGCATCGGTGCCACTGTGTTGAGATCCTAGAAGATAGGATTTTGGAACAGAAAGGGAACAAAAAGCCCATTAAGTAATAAGAATATTTAAGAAATGAAAATAATATTTAATGGTTAAGCTGCAGAATAAAGGTCAGAAACATGACATTACTACACTAGTTTAAGGTCTTATAATACATATTACTCTAACAATGTAAGTAACTTTCATTTATCGTCATTAAGCTCAAATTAGTAATACCATTTTCTGACGAGTACGAGCACATTTTCATCGTCAAACGTGTAACTAGGCTGTTGATAATTCGTTCAACAAGTTCCAGATTCCTTCCCGTAGACAGAAGAGTCTTCAATGAAACTTCAGAAAAGATATACAACAATTCAGTGTGGATGAAAAAGAATATGCTAGTACATAATAAGAGCGTAAGAATCAAAGAAAACAAAGTAGATTTCAAGAAATAAAATTTGATGTTAATCTCTAGTAAGTTATTAGTAATTACCACTTGATGTGAAGAATGTGGAGCAAGGAACCTGTATTACATTTAGCTATATTGCTTATAAGCCCACAGCCATAAACAATTCATAACTAACGGACCAGAGTTAGCAGCTGTATTGGCAAGAGCATTGGATATGCTAAGAGAACTGATTCCCTTTGCCAATCCACCACCACAAGGAAACTCACCCGCTAAATTTGTAGGGTAGTCCTAGGCTTTACTCAAAAAGTGAGATAAATCATTAACTTATCCAACAGTAGAACACAAACAATTTCCCACAAGGATTTTCTTCAGCAGATTAATGAAATTCTCAATAGCTGCATGGGTAAGTAAGCAACTCTAAATTTCCTAAGTAGCAAGTACCACTCATGTCACAATACATAAGCATGTAGAAGCATGAATGGATGGAATAAAGTTATTGCTAATTAAGAAAAATTGATAATGATGCCGAAAAACATTAGAATAAAAACAGCAGGACAGAAAAGGTAAACTATTCCAAATTCCGAATATTAAATTGAAAGAAGTTGTGAAAGGTCTTCAACTAGTGAAAAGAGTAGTATAGTAAATATAAGTATACAGCTTGAAGTGTCAGATTTTCAAATTTAGAAAGCATGTGATTCAAACTTTTAATTTGAGGGGGAAAAAAAGACTAGGAAAAGCTCTTCAATTAATTAAAAGAGCATAATACCCAATATAAAATCAACGGCTTGGTGTGCCATGTTTGCAAACTTGGAATCATCCACCTGCAAAATACAATAAATACCCTTATGAAGTATAATTAAAAAAATTTAGCACATAAAAAAAAGAAATGTTTATATTCAATGCAATATTTGGATAACAAATTGGTTAAACAAAAATGCTACTACTAAGTAGTGAAGCATACTGACAGGTAATACAGTCTCACACAGCTCCACAAGAAAATCAACAGATGCTTTCAGCTGCTCTGTATCATCCTCCTCAGCTAAACCTGCAGTTTTAGTTGCAAATTAGAAAACAGATTTAGTGGCTACAATCACTTTTCAATTCCTAAAAAGGGTAAAAAGCTATTTCAGAGGCTAAATGTGTGAGGTGGTGCCAATATGTCCTTGAAAATATTGAAATTACAAAAACATCTCTCAGTAACTTAGGTTAGTAATTTTATAGACCAGATAAACTAACCAACACATTATACATTAGATTATCAAACTAACTAGCGGAAAAACTTATTCGAAGATCAAAATAATGAAGAATGACAATCAAATATGTTCTCTGGAATTTTGATAAATTAAATGACTATTGCAAGATGCCGGATACATTACCTCTAAAAAAAGATGTTTATGTGTTAGTGTTGAACTCCTATAGCAACAGTTGTGATTAAGTTCAATTTATCCAGATTTTTAAATTACTACTGATGTCGACGTGTCAGTGTGGTGTTGTGTCTGGTGTTCGTGTCCGTGTCCGTGTTTCATACAATTTAAATTGATTGTTTATTCTTCCGAAAAAGTGTAATAGCGTGAAATGCATAAAGCTTTACCTTATTTGAAAAAGAAAACCGCCACTCCAGTTACAAATCATGAAATATTCACAGATAAACACTGAGTATTAAAATTCAGTTTTGACTGAAAATGCTATTAGTATTAAGAAAAATACCTAAACAAAGCCGTTGCTGACTTGAAGAAGATGAAGAACCAATCCTTCTCCTCCTTTCCTTAAATCGCACTACATAAACCAAATCTTCAACGTCAATAAGCAATTCAAAAGCAGGACGCCACAATTTCGAAGAATAACAACATCACAATAACTCGATAATAATACCTTGTCTTAGAAATCTCCGGCGAAGTATGTCATTGAATCTGTTAAACGAATCATTTCCATGATGCTTAGGACTTAATTCCCCTAAATTATCGAAGAAATAGCACTTGCAAGAAGCGTTCTCCGGAAATAGATCACAATGTGAAGCATCTGAATAAAAATAAAAATAAACTCAAAATCATAGCAACATCGCTCGTGATTCGTGAATATGCGTTTGATTAACCTTGAGATTCTTTCAGATCTTCTCTGAGCCGTAGAATTTCTTGCTTCCTTTCCTTAGCCTGAGATTCAAAACATGAAATAATGAAAATCGGAGTGAAAAACGAATTGAATTGAATTTCAGAAGAAAAGAAGAGAGCGTAGTTTTGAACCTTTCGTTTCCAACGGAGAAGAGTTTCTGATTGAGAGGGAGAAATTGGATTACACTGTTTACCGTTTTTCACGAACTTAGATCGGAGAAGAGCAACCGCTATCGCTAGCTTCATAGATTCATCTTTTGCGGCGGTGGTTCCACCCTCTGCCATTTCCTTCAGATTCGAAGTGAAAAACGCGCGAAACCTATTAAAGCGTTTCCAATGGTAAACTATGGAATTAATTTTATCCTTTTATAATGAGAACTGAACTATTTAAATATTCAATTATAAATAAATAAATAAAGGATAGTAGTATTAATAAAAGTGACACAAATCAATTTACTTTAATTGGATGGGTTCATGGAAGGCGATTTCCGGTACGCTCCACTATTTTGGCTCTGTCGATCAGGTTTAAAGTCTTAGCTTTTGGGTTTAGGGATCAACCGGTAGAGACAAAACAGTGGGTGAAGATCTCTTTCACTTTTCGACGATGACACGGGGAAGGGGAAGGCCAAAGAAATCGGTGGCTTCTTCTACGGTCACAACCGTGAACTCACCAAGCAAAACGGATGTAGCAAGTGCTTCTAATAACCCAACAGAAAATAGTGGTAATGATGATGTTGAAGGAAATATTGATGGCTATCTCACACCACATGGAGTGGAGGAGGAGAAGGCGGAAAACATTGAATCAGAGGAGGAAAAAAGGAAATTATGGGTGGATGTGATCAGCGGGTAATCGCCTGCCCACAAATGGAGTCCCAATTGAGTTTGTAGCACCTAAGATTGAGGATGGAGAATTTATAGTAGAAATTGAATCTGAAGATGTTGAACCGGAAATTAAATTTTGGGAATCAACTCTGATTATGTATGCCCTGGGAAAGGACTCGAGTATGAATGCAGTAAAACCGTTTATGTCTAAATTTTGGAACTTCGTGAAACTCTCGGATATGTTCTATCACGAGGAATGATATTTTCTCCTCAGGTTCCATAGTTTCAATGACAGGGACCAAGTTTTCAGAAGGGGACCTTACATTATCCTTAGAGTCCAAATGGTTTTGAAGGAATAGACCAAAGGCTTTGATTTCAAGAGAGACATGTACTATGCCAATCTGGGTTAAACTGCCTAATTTACCTCTTTTCTTATGGAACCCTAAGAGCCTTGGTAAAATAGAAAGCACACTTGGAACACCTCTGTGTACTGATGAATGTACAACTCATAAGTTGAGGGTCTCTTATGCTCATATTCTGGTTAAAATTGACATTACAATCAAGCAAGGGGTCACATTAAGATAAGAAATGAAGAAGGCCAGATCATCAACCAGCCAATTGAAATGGAGTGGAAACCAAAATACTGTGAGCTCTGCAAGAAGGTGGGGCACCAATGCAATGGAGAAAACCCCAAAGCTACCAAGAAATGGAGTACTAAAAGCTGGAGAAAGCACGTGCGATCATACAAGAGGATCTGAGAGGAGAAGACAATGTAGATCCAGATGTTCCTGAATCATCTATACCTTGGCACATTATCTCTAGAAGAGGAAAAAAAAGGAAAAGCTATACAAGGTACCCCCCCCCCCCCCCCCCCCCCCCCCCCCCCCCCCTTAATACCAATGAAGAGGTTTTGATTTGTAGCAATGGATTTTCAGCCTTTAGGACCTGGAATGAGTTTGAAGGGATCCATAAGCCCCCTTAATGATCATGTCCTCGAATGTGAGGGGTATCAATAAATCAGGTAAGTGCAGAGAGGTCAGCTCCCGCCTCTACAATATGCACCCTGACTTGATTATTTTGATTTAAACAAGGATTAAAGCTAACAAAGTTGATACCATTAGAAATAAGTTCTGGCCTGGCTGGTCTTATTGTGATAACTATGTGAACCTTGCCAATGGAAGAATATAGATCTTATTTGATGCAAGCAAAATAAAGGTTAAACCTATCTATAGTACTTCCCAAATGATACACACTGAGGTTTGTAATTTGGATGGTAGCCTGAGGTACTTATGCATGGGGGTGTATGCCAAGAATACTCTTAATGAGAGGAGGAAATTGTGGAAAGATATTCAAGATCTTCAACCTAATCCTAGCATCCCTTGGCTTGTTATGGGGGACTATAATGATGTGCTTAGAGCTAATGACAGGATTGGTGGAAACCAGGTGCTGGAATCAGAATTTGCTGATTTGGAAAATATGATGGAAACCCTAGGTTTACATGAGAAAGATAGCAATGGTGACATTGGTCCAACAAACAAGCTAATGGGACAATCTACTCCAGGATTGATAGAATTATTGGGAACCTGAGTTGGCATCAACAAAATTCTGATTCCACCTTCTTTATTTTGGAGCCAAGAGTGTCGGATCATGCTCTGTTGTGTCTCAAAGGCCCTGGGAAGAATGAGTTCAGGAGAAGACAATTCAAATTTCCTAATGTTGTAACCCAAACTGATGGTTTTTTGGAGGCGGTTAAAAATAATTGGGATCTGCCTCTTGAGGGCAGGGATATGTACAAAATCCGGAAGAAGCTTCAAAGGTTGCAACCAGTTGTGAAAACCCTTAGTAAACCTTTAAAGATAAAATTGCCAAGGCTAGAGAAGATCTCATAAAAGCTCACGAGGCTCTGTTGCTTGACCTAATGAATGTTCAGATCATAGGCAGGGTTAAAAGATGCACTGAAAAAGTTATTCAGCTGAATAGTATGGAAGAACAAACGCTGCATCAAAGAGCTAATCTTGATTGGCTCAAGATGGGAGATGTGAATAACTCTTTCTTCCATGCTACCCTTAAATCCAAAGCTAAGCAAACTCAATTCCAGACTCTGATAAAAGAAGATGGAACTATCATCAATTCTCAGCAGGATCTGAAGGAGGAGTTTTCAATTATTATGAGAGAATAGTTGGGACTACAACCAGTAATCTCAGGGGTATTGACATAGAGACAATGAGGAAAGGTGCTCAGCTGAGTGATGCCCATAGGGATGCTTTGATTGCTCCTATCACAGATGAGGAAATTTACAACAGTCTCAAAAGCATAAATGATACTACTGCTTCTGGGAGTGATGGTTATAGCTCCAAGTTTTATAAAGCCTCTTGGGAAGTTATTAAGAATGACATGATCAAAGCTGTTAGAGAGTTCTTCGAGAAAAATAGAATTTATAAGGTTGTCAATAATTCTATTGTTACTCTCATCCCCAAGACCCCTGATGCTAATAGGATTAAAGATTATCGTCCTATCTCGTGCTGCTCCATTATCTACAAAACCATTTATAAGGTTATGGCTAATAGGTTGGGGAAAGTGATTGGGCATGTGGTGCATAACAGTCAAACTGCTTTTATCCCTGGCAATCATATGCAAGATCATATTTTGTTGGCATACGAGTTTATTAAAGGTTATAATAGGAAAAATGGGCCTTCTGTGTGTATGATCAAAATGGATCTTCAAAAAGCTTACGACTCAGTTGGGGGGGGGGGGGGAGTTGAAACTATTTTGAGAGAGATGTTTTCCCCAACAATTTATTCGATGTATTATGCTTTCTGTGGAAACAGTTTCTTATAGGTATATTGTGAATGATGAGTATACAAAGTTGCTAATGGCAAAGAGAGGGCTAAGGCAAGGAGACCCTCTCTCTCCCATGATTTTTGTTCTGGTGATGGATTACTTGTACAGGATCCTCCAAAAGCTGAAGTCTAACCCTAATTTCAACTTCCATGCCAATTGTGAAAAGCTGGGGATTATTAATCTGAGCTTCGCAGACGATTTGCTTCTATTTTCTAGAGGGGACTCTGGTTCTGTAAATATTTTGTTGCAATCCTTCAACAACTTTTCCTCTTCAACTGGGCTAGGTGCAAATCCAATGAAGTGTCGTATCTACTTTGGCAATGTTAATATGAAGGAAAAAGATGATATTAAGAAGATAACTACTTTCTAGGAGGGGAGTCCTTCCGTTCAGGTATCTTAGCATCCCCCTCACAAGTAATAAACTCTATGTGTATCATTGTCTTATTTTGGTGGATAATCTGGTGGGCATAATTAGGCACTTGAGCAGTAGGCTTCTTAGTTTTGCGAGGAGGCTGTAACTTGCGAAGAGTGTCATTTTCCCAATTTCTAATTTCTGGATGCAGAGCATCCCTCTTCCCAAGTTATTTATCAAAAAAGTGGAAGCCATTTGTAGATCTTTTATGTGGTCGGGTGGTGATAGGATTTCTTGCAAATCCCCAGTTGCATGGGAGAATTCTTGCAGACCGAAGAATCAAGGGGGCCTTAATATTTTGTGTCTGACTACTTGGGGGACTGTTAATATTCTTAAAATGTTGTGGAACCTCTGTAGAAAGGCTAACAACCTTTGGGTGAAATGGATTTACTGTTATTATGCGAAAAACGAGGAGATGATGGATGTTCCAGTCAAAACTAACTGCTCTTGAATCCTTAAATTCATTCTTAATTGTAGACAGGAAGCCATTCAGTTACAGAGTTGAAATAGTCACCATGATAAATTCAAGTCCAAGGATGTCTATGATGAGTTAAAGAAGAATCATCTGGTGGTTAATTGGAGGAAAATCTTCTTTAACAACTGGGCCCGTCCGAGAGCACATTTTATTTTGTGGATGGCTTGCCACAATAGACTACTACCAAAGAGAGACTGTACCAGTTTAACTTGATTCAGAATAACAATTGTTGTTTCTACAGAAACATTGAAACTTTAAATCATATTTTTTTAGTGTTTCAGCCTTGCTAACATTTAGAAATATGTTCTTCAGTGGATGCACATTGATTATAACCCCCAGAATTGGGATGAGCAGCTGGGCTGGGTGCTAAAGAATAGTAAAGGTAAAGGTCATATAGCTAGTATTCTCAAGTGCGCCTTCACAAGAAAGGGTGTATGAAGCTTGGTGTTTTCGAAACCAAATTTGCTTTGGCAACAATGTTGATAGTTCTAAGATAGGTCTTAAAATTGTTGATAATATTGTGTTTAGATGTTGGATGAAACACAATATAAGAAAATTTATAGCTAGGCTGTTATTGCCTTAGGTTGTTTGGTTTGGCGGGATCCTTTGATCGCCTAGTTTTGTATTGTTTTTGGTTTGAAATAAAGCATTTCTTTTTCCAAAAAAAAAAAAGTGACACAAATCTACTTAATATAAATGTAAAGAAGTCATGATGATAATCCTAACTAAACCCTAGATTATGTGTCAATCTCACAAAAATTTAAACTTATGGGTCAATTCACAAAAATCTAAGTTTATTTCAAATAAAATAATAATAAAATTGATATAATTATAATATCTTAAAGTTGATATAATTTATGAGTTATGATAATAATACTCTTCGTATTTATATTCCTACTCCAATTCTAATAATAAATTAAAAAATAAAATTCATAAAACTCTTTCATACTTTTTATTTTAATTCAAAAAATAAAAAATAATTTAGTCCTTAAACAAACACTATATTTATTCCGTAAACTATCCCTCGTTTCAAATTAGTCCATAATGAACTACACTATATTTATTTCCGATGAAGATCATCGATATTCAATTCTGCACACCCGACATTCTGTGATACCAGGGCATTAAACCTCCTGTCCCAGGTCGTGCAATGGGAAATCCTTCAGCGCTGGTATTTCCTTGAATACCAGAAACACAGGTGTTTCTCATACTAGCAGTAGCACCTGGACGCAATCCAAGATTCTTTTCGGCTTCCGAATGGATTTCAGATATAGTTTTGGCCTTCGCCCACATACAAATAGAGTTAAACATTAATACTTTGATATATAAAAAATAAAAGGTTAATAGCTAATTTGTCTCATGTCATTTAGGCGAGTTTTAAAAAAATAAATTAGATTCTCATCCTGACATATAAAGATTTCAATGTTTTAGTTTTTCATTAAACCAAGTCATCCAAGCTAACAAAAACCAAAAGAAGACAAAGAGCCCCTCCAAGCTAAGTCTATTGGTTCCTGCAAAAATAATGGGCTTTAGTTCTAAAAGAAATCCCATTAACATAGCAAGAGAAGTTGAGGATGATAGTATTGAAGAATTAGATAGGTCAGATCCTAATGATAGTGATAATGAAAAGTACACTAAGTATGAGAAGTTCAGAGGTGAGTTGATGAACAACGATTTTCAATAGAAAAAAATGTGATTTTTTAGCATTGTATAGTAAAGTGGATGACAGACATACATACCAATTAAAAACTATGTATTATGTACTGTCAATTTGAAATACCTATTTGTAATATCATTTTGGAACAACTATAAATCAATAATATAGCAAGTCAGATTCAATTCAATTCAACCATAAATCATAATAAAGCAAGTAAAATTCACATCAATTCAATTCAACCATAATTCATTATGCATTGTAAACTAACTGAGATATATTGACAACAATGCTTGTTTTTCTCATTCATTTCAAATAAACCATTTTGTTAACATAAGTACTACAACTACAACATAAGTACAATACAACACTCAGGCTGTTAAAACTATGACAAAGTAAACCCAAGAACAAATAAGTAGTACAACTAGAAAAGCCAATTTCTTCCTTGTGCTCTCTAACATGTTCTTCATATCTTCCATATCCTTCGAACAGAGTTTTGACCCAAATTCTCTTCCAAATTCCATCCCAAAATCTCGGCCAAATTTTCTCAAATACTCTATCATCACATCACATCTATTGCATCCATCATTGTCTTCTATAAGTCGTTTCCTATCAATTGAGCCAAAGCTTTCAAGTTTCGAGGTGAACTCTTGCTGTTTCAAGGCGATACAATGCTTTAGGGTTCCAAGTTGAAGAGAAGAAGACGACACCAATTTGGGATTTAGGGTTTTGGAAAGAATGTCTTTAAATGATAAACAAGTTTTAATTATAATAAATAAATGACATTTGGATATTAATTATATTTAATTTAAATAGTATATGACAACTTTACAATGCCACAATAGCTTATTGGATGACTTGGTTTAATAATGAAGGAGTTAAACAATGGAACCTTTATATGTTAGGGTGGGAATTCAAATTTTTTTTTACAGGGGAGTTTCAAGTCTCGCCCAAATGGCAGGGACAAATTATCTATTAATCCAAAAACAAACAAATAGTTCAACATTTCAATTGAGACATAATGTATCTACATATCAATAAGTTTTGTAAGCTTACCTCTTCAGGTCTAGGGATCCGGTTACTAGCACGCAAATCTATAACATCGTGCACCATGAATCTCATCCTTGGTACAAGTTGGGGATTGGTGCTCAATTCCTTCAATCGGCCAAAATACATATCATTTATACGTCGTGATTTTGGGCTTTCGTCAAGCTGCTTGCCAATAGTGTTGAAAATAAGACATATGGCTTCAACATTTTCCTCAGCTGGACAGACCTTGCTGTCAGAAACTCCCAAAAGCTCCTGTTCATAAAAATCATTCAGTTAACAAGGCAGGTAAGTAAATACTCTCAAAACAATAAGAAATTACAAAAAAAGAGTCAAGTCATAAGTCTTGATATAACCTGAACAATGTGATGGATAATCTTTTCAGGAACCATATTTTGCTTCCACAACTCACCAATTAAACGGATGTTTCCAAGGGTACGAATCTTGACAACTCTTTCCATGACATGTCGATCCAACTCTTGCTCAGGGGAAGTCATCTGCGCCAATTCTTCCCTCAGTTTACCAGCGCCTTCAAAAGCTTCCTGGCAGTTATTCAAGAGTACTCTCTTAAAAGTTATTTCTTTGCCATCAGGTTCTTCAGATGGGAACGGAGGCAGCTTGTCGTTCAGAACAGAACACAGTTGCGCATACATGGGGCAGAATGTTGGTTCAAATACTGCCTTATCAAATATCAGTGAAACAGTTCCCTTCAATTGCAAAGAAAAACTTTATCTAATCTCAGTGAAATAATACCATGCAGTTACAAAGAAAAAACAGTTGAGAACACAACTAACAGGATACAAAGAGAAATATATTTCAAAAAATAAAGAACCTTAAATATATCAGCCGATGTAATGCCAGAATCGTTCAACTGACCCTTAAAAAGATCAAATTTTTCTGGAGTCAACTTATTCAGTATTCTGCATAAAAGTAGTTAACAGCACTTAGAAAAGCAGTCACATGCAAGGTAGTCAGACTCGAGATCTTATGGTCTCAACACGGATCATAAAATCCTACCAAATTTATGAATTCATATATATGAAGCAACATAATTTAGTAGGAAAAAAACATAAAATAACAGTAAAATTACTTTAAAAAACTGAAACTTCAGATGATAATATTCATAGAAACTAAGGCAAGACCATTTAAAACAACAGAAAATTCAAAATAGTAGCAAATAACAATTAAAAAATTCTAAAAAAACTTAATGATAATTCACTCAATTCTCAGTCCGTCCATCAGTCATTATGGTGCAACCCGTGTTGCTCTATTAAGATGATGTCTTAAAATCATATCACATATAATAGTGAACTTCTTACTAATTGCTACAATGAATGGTATGCCATTGATGTTAAAAAAAAAACCTTGCAATTGCTTGACTTTCAAGCTCTAACTTCTCTTCCTCCACCATCGCTTTTGTTTTTTTTATGAAGTTTGCTTCCAGTCTTGAACAAATTTGAAGTATTTCCCTCTTGATTTCATCTGCGATATGCGTTCCAGCAGCAGAGCTTGAAGCCATTGGAGGCAGGTTGAAACAAAAAGGGTTATTTTTTAAAGTGAGAAAGAAGATGTAATGAAAGGTTGTTTTTAAAGTGAGAGAGAAGATAATTGGTGTATTTAACTTAGAGAGATAGAGTAAACAGGAGGGAAGTTGTATAAATCAGGGTATTGATTACTGATTGCTGGATAGAAAAGACACTTAATTGCTTTAGTGATTACCTATTTTAAAAATTAAATTTATAAAATGGTATATTTAAAAGTTTTTGTGTGAAATAGTATGTTAAATTATGCTACAAAATTTATTGATTTTATATATTATTTTCCATATTGTAATATTTTGATTTTAGGAATGAACTTTTTTTATATATTTTTCCTTTTAATATGTTATTTATTTATTTGATTTTATAGAGTATACTAAGTTGAAAGCATTTAGTGTGAAAAAATATAACAACCAAACAATTTATGCGTATAAAAGAGAGAGAGAGAAATTAATAACCAAAAAATTTAAAAAATAAATGTAAAGTGTTGAAGCAGATCCTTTATCTTTTGAAACAAAGTTATGTATTTAGAAGTTATATAATTTTGTTTGAGTGTATCAATTTATGACCTTTATTGTATTATCTTACACGTTTTGGATTCACGTTTAGTAACTGCTATAATCTGTTTTACACTAACCGACTAACCTCTATCAAAAGTGTATTCTCATTTATCTAATTCTAGAAAGTTGTATCACTCTAAAATATAATTAAATATGTACGGCTATACCTTGCTTATTTGCATATGGTACATGTTACACTATTAAATTTGAATTGCAAATATCTTCTGCATTTTGCTTTCATATTGTAATCTTATGAATTTAATTTGTTGTTTTTAACTTTTTCTTGATGTGTCACGTTTTTTTGCTACTCCTTTTATTTTCAAAGAAAGCCAATGTTATTTGGTCTTTTCCAGGTAATTATAAATGTAATGTTTGTTACGAATAATTTTATAAATTGTATATGAAAAGCAAATTTGTTCCATCAGTATTTTTGAATATGTCATTAATTTTGTGATTCTTACCTATATAATATTCATGTTCATTTTCCTCCTGTCAATTTAAATTTTGTGTTTATAAATGTTCAATAATAAAATTTGTTATTTTTTCTCACTTGAGTTTGGATATGGTTACAGCCATATAATATGGAGGTATATCAGCATTGATAGCAGAAGTACTAAGCCAGTATTGAGGCACATATTGGTTGATTATAAAAAGATTGTAGGAGGTGTGGGATGCACGCAAGTTTTCAGAAGGTTGTAACAGGCAATTGGCTAAAGATGCACGCAAAATTATAATCGGTAAATTTATAATCGGTCGTAGATAATACATATCATGATTCAAGATGTATACCTTTGTAGTTTTAATAACATGATACTTTAACATGGCATCTCATGCTTACTTGATTCAAGGTTACATCGAGTCCAATTGCATTTTGAAGATAGGTAAACACAAATAAAAATGAAATGAGCAACGTAATGGCTTCAACTATCACATTAATCCGCAATAGACTTTATAGTAAGTAATACTCATTTGATATCATCCTACTCTTTACATCATTCATTTGGAGGGTATTTAAAGAAACACAAATTTGATGTTATATATAAATTTAGAGTCTTCATTGAATTAAAATTGTGTAATGATTTTGTTATAGTTTACTGTTTTAATCATGAACAATAGTGTTTTATATAATTGTCTCACAATTTTTTTAAAAACATTTATCTGAGTCACTATTATATTATTAATATATTAATTAAATGTGTTTTAAGAAAATAATTTTTTATTTATAATAGTGATTATAAAAATATTTCAATATTTCTTGTTAGAATGTACAATATAATTAAGATTTTGATGTTTAAATTTATAAATAATAAGTTGAATAAAATAAATTATAAATAAGTTAATTCACACCGGTATCTATATAAATGCATGGGTAACACATAAGTACCGTATGAATGTACGGGTAATCATATTGATTATTATATTTTTTTGTAAAATTAAAAAAAAATATTTAAAATAATATATAATTTGAAACACAAGAAACATATGTTATTTTTTAATTATTTATATATGTAATATTTTTATTTTAAAATTCTTTTTAATTTAAGTTACAATATTTTATAAGATGATTTTATTATTTATTATTGATATGCAATTGATTTCATTTAATTATATTAATTAAAGCATATTGATTGTTTCTAAAAGATTAATTCATCCATTAAAAATTAATTAAATTTAATTAATGAAAATAAACTATATACTATTGATATATTTTTTAAAAAATTGAAATATTATTCATCATATAAATTATGATTTTATGATTAATTGATAAAATAACTATGATTTATGATTATAAGTATCTTAAAAATCATATAAATTATGATTTATGATTTATTCTAAAATGATAAAATATATTTTTTTAATAAATATTTCTAAATGAGTAATGATTAACTTGCAATTAAATATATAAAGTAAATAATTGAAATCGATAAAATTTTCTATCACTTTTAAACAATTTTTTAAAAAATATTAACAAAATTGTGATTTGTTTAAATTTCAAGTAAGTATTATTATAATTTAAAAAATATTTTATTATTAAAAAATATTAAAAATTAAGATTTTTATGAATTATTATTAAAAATCACCTAATTTTTATTAATGTTTCTTAAAATACATTATTTTCAATATTTATTGATAAAATACTTTTGAAAGAAACTATTATACGTATGATAATTTTATTAAAGAATTAATTGATCAATTAATTTAATTAAATTATTTTCAAAAAATTTAATTAATTCATTAAAATTCAATTAAATTTAATTAATGAAAATAAATTATATAATATTAATATAATTTTAAATAGAATTCAAAAAGTATTTTAAGAAAAAATTATATAATTTTGAATGTTATTGATATATTTTGAAATTATTTAGATTTTTATAAAAAGATTAATAAAATAAAATAAAATCAATTGAGATTTTGTAATTTTTTAAACTTATAAAATAACTAAAACTTATCAGAATATTTTCAAATTAACTTTATAATGGTAATTATGGTAAAAAAATATTAAAT